AATATGCCATTGCTAGGGATGAGCTGTTCTTAGCATGCCAACCTTGCGCCACATAACCAGTGTCTGTTCCTTGAAGAACATCTCGAACACAGCCATAAGGTGATCAATGTGAGGCAATAACAGACGTAATAGCGCTTGAGACTTCCCAATAAATATCAGTGAGAAGAATTTTCGATATGACGGCCAACTTGGTGGCTCTTCTCAAATCTATCTTTCAGGCGTTCATTCACATCCGAATGACGTTAAACAAAATTACGTACATGCTTTACTTTAAAGATCGCTTGAAAGTGATCTAATTGAATGTAGACTGGATGTTCTGTACGGGCCTTCAACTTCAGTGGCGATCCCACAAACCGGCGGCTTTCTAGCATTCTTCTTGTTTGAGTTTATTTATTAACAAGTTATCCATCTAGTATGAAGTCGCACAATTGGTTCAGTACAATGCTTGCACCAGATTCGATTTGAAAGCGCAAACATTCTTTTGCTGGTTAGCCCAATCATCATGAGCGGTCTACTAGCAGCAGCCGATTGAAGGCTAACAACGACAGAGTATAAGAAGTAAGCAGAGCCTCTTAGCGTACATTTGGCGCTTCCACTGGTTGATGACCTGCTCCACCGTGGAAACCTTCTCTTCCACAATTAGTTGTGTAACGTGCCGCGAAGCCCACTTGTAATTCAGCCTCTGTCTCCGAATCATTTTGAAGCTGTCCGACTTTTCTCTTTGTATAGGAACGACTGACAGCTCGTGTTGAAAAGAGTTGAATGAATTTGCTTACCAGCGCTCGTAGTTTGACGGTCGTACATCGGCTTATAAATCGATTTCGCCAGATTACTCTCTGGGAACACCTCTCTGAAATACGGTGTTTCCCCGAAGACGAAGACTGATGGGTTCAGATTTCCAACCATTCACAGTGAAGATAATGGAACCATGAAACCAGCTTTCAGTTTTCTGAAGAAACCTCACATTACCTCCTAGAGAAATTTCAAGTTTATAATCAACAATAAAACTCTCGGGAATGAAATACACATCACTGTCAAAGTAGAGATTCCCTGTGGGAGCTAGCATACCTGCAAGATTCCAGTTCAGGTAGAACTTTTTAGCTTCACTGAAAAATTCTTATCATGCCTCTTTGGATCTAGCGATAAGTAATCATTCAGCATTTGCGGGTATGTGAAAATGGATGAACATGGCAAGCCTTCTCCTCGAAGTCTTTTTATAGAGATTCTTCAAACAAATTCCACGAATTATTGCGCTCTCGGGCATATTTTGTCGGAGCACTCACCCACCCTGTACTATCTCTGTAACAGTTCTAAGTGATGTCCTCTGTTTGGCTAACATATACAATCTCACCCATGGGAATTCAATTATAGGCAAGGTTCGTTGTTGCTGTCTGACGTAATTGTCTCATCATTTCTAGGAAGTCATTATCTTCTATAAAGTGGAAAATCGCCATTGTTTGCCAATATAAAACATAATAAATAAAAC